GCGGGTAGTAGGCTGACGAGCCTGTCTATACTCAAGGTGAGAGAGCGCGGCCCGGCCTGCTCGATTGGGGAGAAGACGTGGGCGAGCGTCCCTACTTGCGCCTCCCCCAGTGCGACGCGCGGGGGAGGCAGTCCCGTGACTGGCATTGCGCGCCGCGTGCGCCTGTTCTTCGGAAACGTGGACACGTGCGCTCGCGTTTTGTGAGAAGACGAAAAAAGAAACACACCCACAGCGACCTCCGACGCGGGGCGGCGGACCGGGAGCCCGAGATTGTCCGTATCCATGTCCATGTGACGCGGGTCGCGGCGCGTCGCCTCTCGTCACAGTCTCAACACGCGATCTCGACCTGGGGTGTGTTGAGCCAGCGATCAGCACCACAAGCCACCACAAGCCACACCGTGACTACCCTGTGACCACATGTTGAGCCTCGCAGCACACTGCCAGCGGCGCACGCGGCGCAGTGGAGAGGTGCGTGCGAGGCTGGTGCGCTGCCCGCGCGGCGCTCCACCAGTCGCAGCGCGCCAGCCTCGCCCGCCACGCCATGCCAGCAGCCGGGCGCGCGCGGGAGAGGTGCAGAGCTGGCGCGTGGCGGGTCATGGTCGCCGAGATCTGGACGCGCAGGACCGCCCGGACGGCGAGGCTCGAGCGAGCGCCTGTGTGGAGGTCGAACGGCGTGTGGGAGGGCGGTGGGCCGCGAGAGAGTCGCGCAGCCCCGCGTGTGTGGACCGGTGGCGCTTCGGGTGGCGTATCGGGCCGTCAGAGGCAGATACGTGGCGCAGCGAGTGCGAATACATGCAATAATTTGCACGCACCGTGCCGAGCCGACCCGCGTGCACGATCGGAGCACCTCAAGGCGGCGCGAGAGGCGGTGTGTCGAGGTGCCGCGGCCCGCGGCTGCAGCGTGTCGAAACGGCGCTCTCGGAGGCGCCGCGGTGGCGGCCGAGCGCGCGGGATCGGCGAGAAAATTTGACGGCGTGCCGGCCGTGGGCCCGGACGAAGGTCCTGGCTCGAAAACGCGAGCAGAGGCCGCCGTGTGGGGCCACGGCGAGCCTCGGCGAGAAAGGTCAGCACCCTATCTCACGCCATCGGTTGGCTAGTCACGGACGGAGGAGTGGAAACACCCAATCTCTACACCCCTTATTGCCCATCCAGGGCCATCACCTGGACCTATCAACAGGCGCCTGCGGCGCCGTGCTCAGGAGCTGCTGCTCCAACCTGTTCAGACTTTGGTACGGCACAGTATGGGCCTCGCGCTGCCGACAGAATCTCTGTCCTCCCTTGCCGCCGCCGCCGCCATTTGCACGCTCGCTGCTCTGGCGGTGGGCACGGCGCTCGCCACACGCGGCTTGCGGGCGGAGGCAATCGAGCAGGACGTTGCGAGAGTGCGTGCGGCACGCATGAGGGCGCAAGCAAAGTCTCACGCCGCGCTCGCGTCCGCCGTACTCGCTGGCCGGGCGGCGGAAGAGCAGAAGGCTCGCGCGACAGAAGCTCGGACAGCAGCGATGGCGTCGCTCGCCTCGGACGCCAGCACCTGCACCGTGAGCACCACTGGGCCGATCGAGCTGCCGCCCGAGCTGTGGCTGGCGGTGGCAAGCTACCTTGACGCGCGGTCGCTTGTGCGGTTTGCCCAGGCCTGCCGATGCCTCCGCGCGTGCGCCTCCACGCCGAGCTTGTGGGAGACGCTGCTCGAGCGGCTCGGCGTGACGGTCGAGGGCTGCGGGCCAACAGCGGAGGCCAGAGAGGGAGCCTTGCCATCCGCGCCGGCGGTGGGGCCGCGGCTGCTCTTTTCGCGCGCACGCGCCGCGATTGCCAAGAACGAGGGCTTCTACCGCTCCTTCCGCGAGCGAGACCACCTTGCGATGGCGTCGCTCTGGCTCTCGGACGCGCGGCCCTGGCCGGAGCGCGAGCAGATCTCGCAGTTCTTCCCCGCTGGCTTGCTGCGCGACTACCCGGATCTGTGCGTGCGGCAGCAGGACGGGCAGGCCGACGACCTCTCTTCTTCCCACGGAGCGGCTGGCGGGATGGCCTGCAGAGCCTCACGCCGTCCGGCTGCGAGCAGGTGCTCCTGCGCCCGTATTGCAGACACCCGGGCTCGCCGCCGCTGCTCGGCTGGCAGGCCATCAACGACAGCTGGGCGCGGGGCTTCGGCAGCGGGCACGATCGCTTGAAGCACGTCCAGGATGCAGCGACGCAAGCCCCATAGGTGCAAATTTTCTCGGCGGGCGCGCTCGAGATCTGGCCCGAGGTGCGGCGCATCACAATCTCGCCGTGCGGCCGGCTCGTCCGCTTCGCGCTCAGGGAGCGCATCCTATCGTCGCGCGGCATCCGCACGCCCGGCCCCGGCATCGCGAGCAGGAACGATTTTGTGCTCCCGCAGGCGGGCGAGGGCGACGAGTGGCCCGGGTGGAGCATCGTCGTTCACGACGCCCACCCGACAGCGGCTCAAGAAGCTCCAAACGGAGAACTTCTGGGAGACGCTTCCTGAGCAGCATACCCTGCCCACTCAAAGTTGAACGCCGCGGTGGAGCACTTGGAAGGCGTTTGTTTTGCCCATCCGTTGACGAATTTCTTTTTTGCCACAACACTGGGTGGGCACGGGACTGCCAACTAGCGCGTACTCTGCCACTGGCACCGGGACACGCGAGGGAGTTTTGTCCACTGAGAGAGATGGAGGGAGGGAGGGAGGGAGGGAGGGAGAGAGAGAGAGAGAGAGAGAGAGAGAGAGAGAGAGAGAGAGTGACAGACAGACAGACAGACGGAGACCCCCTAATCAAACTCACTCACAGCGAAGAGGCGATTCGGAGGAGCAAGTAAGGACGAGTGAAGGAACGATTCACGCTTTGGTGAAGGAACGAACTCAAATGGCGGCGCGCGTCCCCACTTTACTTGCGAGGACTGCGACCTGGAACCCACTTCCTTCACTCACACCCTCGTCGCCCAAAACAGAAGGACCACACACACAGAAGTCTGTCACGGACTTCATTGGCGAAGGGCACAGTACGACTCCATTGCGTGGACAGATGGGAACATCGGAAAGACCGCGCCGTTCGATCCCCGGAAATCCATCGCTTGGACGCGAGGCACTCTCAGCAAGAGCTACGCGAGGCTGGGAATGCCGGCTTCAAGGGCACCACCTACACGTTCACGAACGTCGACCTGTCGAAGCTTCCTCCAGGGTCGATGGGGACCTACTACCTGGTCAACCTGCCTGGGAATGGCGCTGAGGGCATGACGGCCACAGCCTCCAATTAGCACGGAAGCTTCAAGGCGTACGCCGACGCACAGGGATGCGCAGGGTGGTCCGGAAAGCAGGGGAGGCGGGGCAAGTGTGCGCGCAGGATTCGGGTCAGAAGCATGGCGACAACAACATCGCCGGTGAGATGGACCTCTTCGAGGCCAACATGTACGGCTTATCGACCACGTCGCATGGGTGTCAATACGAGGAGCCGAACTTCACCGCGACGATCACCGGTGGCACCACGACGTGCAACTGGGGCGGCAACGTTCTCGGAGTGCACGCGTCCACTCCCACGCCGGGGCGCCCCACGTGAACTTCGTTCCGGCAAGTGCCCCAGGGACCTCCTGCGCAGGAATGCCCGGCCCCGACAGCCGAGCGATCAGTAGCTCTCTCTACGGCCCCAACGCGGCGTGCGACGTCAACACACTCCTTCCGATCGACTCGATCGAGGTTGCCATCAGTGCGGACGGCGCAAGACGACGACGATCAAGCAGGGCGCAAATACGCTGAGCGGCACACAGGTCACGACGCCCGACATGCAGGCGCAGGCTGACCTGCCGTGGACTGTTGTTGGCACCAGCTGGGGCGGCACAACGGACTGGCGGGCCGGCATCGCGAGCCCTTCTGGCACCAACAAAGCGCTGTGCGATGCCCAGTAGCAGTACTCGAACAAGATGGGGAGCTGCAACTTCGGTGGCGTCGTGGGGCCGGCGTTCACCCCACGTCCTTGTACTGCAACGGGCTGGGCCCTGACATCACTGCAGACTGCCCGAACGATCCGTCCATTTGCCGCGTTAAGTGCGGAGGCGTCTGGGCGCCAAGCGCCCCTCGCTGCGTCGCAAGCAAGGACGTGAACCTGGCACTCGGAGGCATCAGCATGGACGTGGGGTCTCCGCAATAGAGCTCCCCCGAGAGCCCGAGACCGACGACATTCGAGGGGCCGATCGACGCAGAGAGAGTGTGTGTGTGGGGGGGGGTTCCTTCCCTTTGGGGGGGGGGGGGGGAGGACCGTCCCTTCCAGCGGGCATTCTCCGTGGCCCGGGTGGAGCATCGTCATTCACGACGCCCACCCGACACCGGCTCAAGAAGCTCCAAACGGAGAACTTCTGGGAGACGCTTCCTGAGCAGCATAGTCACCCTGCCCACTCAAAGTTGAACGCCGCGGTGGAGCACTTGGAAGGCGCGTTTGTTTTGCCGATCTCTGGACTTGGAGCATCGGAGTGCAGTCATTAGCCGCACATCCATTGAATGAAATCGAAATTCTTTTTTTGCCACAACACTGTGACCTGTGTGTGCACGTCTCACCGCGTACCGCGAACACTCGATTCGCCGAGAGATAAGACATTATTTAATGATTGACCCATTATGATGCCTGAAGTTAAACCTTGATGAGACACACACGCGACACACGGCCTCGATCGACGACAGAGATCAGAGTGGGGGTTTCCTCTGGTGGTGGTGGTGGGTGGGGGGGGCACCGTCCCTTCCAGCGGCCATTCTCCGACCGTCGTCATCGGGCGTTGTAACGAACGTGTTTGCCTTCAATCGAGTTTGCCGATAGCCTTGCCGACGAGCCGACCGTGTCAGCGCCAGGTCCATGATGCCGAATCGATCCCCGCCTGGCGTCGCCCCTGGTGCTGCATGTTGCTGTGTCGCATCGTGCACGGAGACGGGCACAGTTATTGTGGCGGAGAGCCCCGAGGGCTCACTCACTCAAGTTGTGAGCTCTCTCACAGCAACCCGCTGCCAGCACGCTACGCGTTCCTACGGAGTGCCATTCAAGGTGTTTTCTCCTTCGCCGTTGAGGCCGCGCAGCCCCTCACCACCAGTGATGGACTCACCGTGCAGCAGCCGTCTCCTCTGCGGTGGCGACCCGCCCCGCGGCGGCCTTGGAGCAGGCCACGAGGACCTTCACGAGGCCGCACCTCAGCGCCGGACAATTTCTGCCCTCGAGATGGACGCGCCGGACCCCGTTTCGATGGACGAGCCGCAGCTCGACGATTTTCTCACTGAGATTCACCTCTCGCTTTCCGACGGCGTCGAGCGGCTGCCACTGAAGCTCACCGGCGCCTCGAGCGGCAAGGACGCGGCATTGCACGCCCTCGCTCCATCGATCATGGGCGCAACGGCTTTTCCGGAAGTGGAAGGGCATGGTGGCGGATGCCTCGACCACGGCATCCCCGGGCTTCAAATAAACCCCACCGCATGGCACAGCTATGCCAGACCGGAAATGGCGGTCCGGAGGAGGCACGACCACACAGAGGTCAACCTCGAGCGTTCCCTCAAGTGCACGCTGCGAGGCCTGGAAGCGGGCAGCCGGGTGGAGGCGCGGGTCGAGTTCGTCGAAGGAGATCGTTGCAGCGGCGGCAAAGACCTGGCCGGCGGCCTCGTCGACGGGTCAAACGCGCCGCTGCAGCACCTCGCCGCCGACGAGCAGGGCAGCGCGTCGTTTGACCTCCGCTTCTCGCGCCGGGTGTTCCACGGCAAGTCGGGGAACCTGCGCCGGCTGGTGAAGCTCTGCTTTGAAGCGCAGGGCGAGCGGGGTACGAAGCGCAAGGTCGTGTCGTCGCACCCGTTCAAGGTTCTCTCCAAGTTTCACGACGCGTCGCCGCCGGGGGCGCGCCGCGTCGTGAGCCGGCCGTCCCGCGGGCGGTAGAGGCCAGTGACAAGAAAGGGAGAACGAACACAGGCGCACCAGGGAGGGACGGGGCGGGGAGCTGCTCCTTTTTGCCCATCTCCTACCGTCGGGTCTCTATTTTAAGACCAAGTAAACAGCAATAGATCCGGCCCTCAAGCGGCCTAATCGATACCCGGCCCTCACGGAATCGGTCCCTCGTTGTACAGCAATCGATCCTTCACACACACACACACACTGCCCGCCCTGCCAAACCTGCCGAGAATCGGTCCCCCCAGGTCGACTGTGGCGCGAAGCTGATGTCGCCCGCCCTCGGCGCGCCGGTCGCGCAGCGGTGGCAGACCACCCTCCGGTTCGAGGGGCGCCTGGGGGTGAGCGGGCTGCCTCCGCCAGAGTTTGGCTCGCCCACCGGCGGGCTGCCTCCGCTCGTCACCCTGCCACGGGTCGCAAGCCCTCTGCCCCCCCCCCCCCCCCCGCCCCCACCGGGTGCCAGCAATTGGTCCCTTGGCAAGCGCGAATCGGTCCCCCTGGCTCCAGGAACTGATCCGGCACTACACCCGGATCTATTGCTGTTTACTTGGTCTTAAAATAGAGACCCGACGGTAGTAGAGGTGTCCGTTTTATTTATTGAACGACAGAGAGCAGCAACGGAAAGAAAAGGCAGAAGATGCATGCATGGGAGGGGCGGGGCAACGGCGCAGCGAGTAGCAAAACAGACTGATGGTGGATTCGGGCACCCAGCTTTCTTTCCCGACATATTATCGGACTCGCCGCCATCGTCGCGCGGCGCATGATAATCACCTCGCTGCTGGCGGCGGTGGCCGTCGCTATCTCTCGCGCGCCACCTCCGAGGCTCTCCGAGACTGCTGCTGCTGCACCGCGCTACGCCATTGGCGTCGACGTGGGAACTGGCTCGGCCCGTGCGGGCGTCGTCGACGTCCGGGACGGCACGCTCCTCGGCGTCCACAAGCAGGACATAACCATGTGGAACCCGCTGCCGGAGCACTACGAGCAGTCGTCCGAGGATATTTGGGCCGCCGTGTGCAACTGCGTCCGTGGCGCGCTCTCCGCCGCCGGCGCCACCGCCGACGAGGTGTGCGGCGTCGCATTTGACGCCACGTGCTCCCTCGTGCTGCTCGACTCGGAGGGTGCGCCGGTGGGCATCGACCCAACGGTGCCCGACGAGGCGCGGCGCAACGTGATCGTGTGGATGGACCACCGCAGCGAGGAGCAGGCCGCCCGCATCAACCGCGGCGGCCACGCGAGGCTAGCGAACGTGGGCGGCGCAGTATCGCCGGAGATGGAGGTGCCAAAGCTACTCTGGCTGCGGGACGAGATGCCGCACGCCTTCCACGCGGCGGCGACCGCCGAGGGGGGCGGCAAGGCGCTTGACCTCGCCGACTTCCTCGCCTACGCCGCCACCGACGGCTCGCAGCACGCCCGCTCCCTCTGCACGGTTGTATGCAAGTGGAACTACGACGCTTCGCCAGCCGGCGGCGGTGCGAGGGCCCGAGAGGGCCCGAGAGAGCACCCTATCGGCGGCGGTGAGAGACTTCGCTAGGACCAGAGGTGGCCCGAGCCCCTCTCTGCGCCACAGGATGGGACCGCAGCTTCTTCGAGTCGGTCGGGTTCGGCGAGGGCGGCCTGGCCGAGGCTGCTCTCCCCTGCTCGCCGTCTCTAAGCCCTCTCCGAGCCGTCCTCTAGGCGAGGGAGACCTGCCCGAGGCGGCCATCGGGAAGGATGTCCTGCCGCCTGGCGCCGCCCTCGGCGGCGGCGTCGGCCCCTCTGCAGCGGAGGCGCTCGGCCTCCGGCCAGGCACGCCGGTCGGGGTGGGCATGATCGACGCGCACGCGGGCGGGGTGGGCAGCCTCGGCGCCGCGTTGCCGCGGGAGGCGGGAGGCGGCGAGGGAGGTGGCGACGAGGAGGCGGGGGCTCGAGTCGCGGCTCTTCGCTGGACCCGCTCGGACCCTTCTCGGAACCGTCCTGTAGGGCGGGCTCGAGGCGCGGCTCGGCCTCATCGCAGGCGCGTCCGCCGCCGACGCCGCCGGGGCGCCCTTGGCTGTGATGAGCGCCTGTTGACGCGTCGAGTTGTTGGTTCGCTGCAGGCGGCTCCCCCCGCCACACGGCCTCCTGTGGCGACTGCATGGAGGACGGGTCCCCCTCTCGGCGGATAGGCACCTCTACGTGCCACATGGCCTCCTCGCACGAGCCCGTCTTCGTGCGCGGCGTGTGGGGCCCCTATTACGGCGCCATGTTCCCGTCCTTCAACTTGAATGAGGGCGGCCAGTCCGCCGCCGGCGCATTCCTCGACTTCGTCATCGCGTCGCACCCCGCCGGCGCCGCCGCGATCGCCGCTGCCGACGCCGCCGGCGAGCCCGTCGCCGCCCGCCTCAACAGGCGCCGCGGGGTAGGCGGCTGCGACTGCTGGCGGAGGGGTGGAGGGGGAGGGGGCTTTGTGGCCGACGCCCCCAGTCTCGCCACTCTCTCTCACCGCGCGGCTCCTCTCGGCGCGTGCAGGCGACTCGACGAGCTCGCGGCTGCGCGGCGTGTGCCTCTTCCGACCCTCGCCTCGGACGTGCACGTGACGCCTCCCCCGCCGCGCAGCGCCGCCCCGCCGAGGGGGGGGGGGGGGGGTGCGCGAGAGGAGCGGTGGGTTGGCGTTAGGTGACCCCCGACGTCAACGGCAACCGCTCGCCTCTCGCCGACCCGGCGATGCGCGCGCCGCATCTCGCCCTCCGCAGTCGGCCTGTGCCTGCTCCTGCCTCTGACCCCGTACCTCCGTGAGCTCACAGGCGCGCCGGTGTGGTCGGGGTGGGGCTCGCTTCCGGCGAGGACGAGCTCGCCGTAGTCTACCTCGCCGCCGTCCAGTCGCTCGCCTACCAGACGCGCCAGATTGTCGAGGCGATGCAGGCGGCGGGGCACCCGACGATCGGGCGAGTCTTCGTGCGGCCCTAGACGCGAAAGACGTCTCCTCCTCGCCCGGCTGCATCCGCAGCCCGCGTACGCCCGCGGGAGACGACCCCGTCCGTTCCGGTTCTGGTTCCGGTGCTCACAGCCTCGGCCGTGCGCGTCCCTGCGCCAGGTCTGCGGCGGCCTGAGCAAGAACCCGCTCTACGTGTCCTCGCACGCCGACGCGCTGCGACTGCCGCTCCACATCCCGACCAATGACGAGGCGGTGCTGCTCGGCGCGGCCGTCCTCGCCGCCACCGCCGGAGGCGCGCACGCGTCGGTCAGCGAGGCGGCGGCGGCGATGACGTCGGTCGGGCGGACGGTGCGGCCGGCGGAGGAGGGGGAGGTGGCCGCCTACCACGCTCGCAAGTACGCCGTCTTCCTCAAGATGACGGAGGACCAGCGCGAGTACCGCGAGATGATGGCGTCGTGAAGGAGGCAGGGCACAGGCGCGGCAGCCGGCACGGTGGGGGTGAGTGAGGGGGGCCCGGGTGACGATTCCACAAGCACATCCTATACGTAGCGATCCGCGTATTCTCCACGAGCAGATTCCTACACCCACCAAAGAGCACCGAGCACTTTGTGTAGTTGCAGTAAAGAGAAAGAAAGCTCTGGGGGGGCGCGGGGGCCCTTGAGGGTATCCATGCGGGGGGGCGATGGGGTCCCATGGCCCGCCGCAGGCGCCGATTTTTTTTCGGATTTTTTCTTTTTTTTGCGCAAATTTTCACTTGTTTTCATGGGAACTCGGCGTTACTTGCGGCCATGCTATCACGCCTTGCGACAGCCTGTCGGCGCTGCTGACCGTGCCATGCTGCACAATTCATCACCTGCATAGCTCGCGGCCTTAGTATCAAGCATTCAGTGACGACCTGATCGTACGGCCAGTAGGAAGGTGTCCTTCCAGCTGCGTGCACGCTTCTGACGCAATGCGCGTCACAAACTGCCTCAGATTGGCTGCTGGCACTCTCGAGGCTATGCCTACACAGCCTCGCGCGCATGGGCAGTCAAGAGGGACCACGAACCTTCTCAGGACAGCACCAGTGCCTCTCTCTTGGACCGGCAAACGTGGTGGTCTCGTGTTACCAATGTGGGACCGGTGCGGCATCGCGCCATCGACAGCTCTGAACTGCGCCTCACCACTGACCGGGAAGGCCGCCAAGTGGGCCAGCACCGGTCGCACATTGTGGCAGCAGTCAGCAGCGCATGTCTGATAGCTAGAGCAGCAGCGTCAGGGTCTCGCAGGGTCGGATCGTGTCAAGCCTCTCGCCCGGCCGGCCGCGTGCAGACGTCGGCCTGTCTGCTGTCTGGAGTGATCTGTCGGCGGTCAGTACGACCGATCAGGTCGGAGTTTTCTGATGGTTGGAGGGTCTGTCTGTATGTACTCCTCGAGATCTCTCCAAATCTGCCCTCTAATCAACCGTAATCATTCGGGAAGTCGGTGCTAACGGAGACTAACGGAGCCGGAGCCCCGTTTCCGCACTGCTGCACGGCGCACGGTGCCTCCGGGGGGCCCCGCGCCCCCCCAGAGAAAGAAAGGCTCCCCGAAAGAAAACACACAAAGGCCTAGGGAGGGAATGGGGCAGGAAGTTCACCCGCCCCCCGGCCACACTCGCACTCTCACCCAGAGCGGCCGCACTACATTGCTCGGTACCCCCCCTCCACATCTAAAGTCATCCCTGCTGCTGGGGGGGGGGGGGGGGTCTGGACCCCCAGCAGCACAGTGCGCGTCTTCCCAGCTTCGCTGAGGGCCGTGATTTTATGGCCGCCTGGGACACGCTTCCTCCTGGTGAAGGCGCGCGACCACGCCGGCAGCTCGAGCGGCGCGGACGACGACGACGCCTGCTGCTGCGCGTGCTCCTGCCAGGTGCTGCCCAGCTCGTCCTTCCGCTCGCGGTAGGCCGGGCTGGCTTGGATCTCGAGGACGTACGTGTCGACCTGCGGCGCGACGAAGTGCTCGCCCATGCAGTGCATCATCAGCACGCCGAGCGCGTGGCCGCAGGCCTGGCCCTGCTGCGGCCCGCCCTTGGAGATGCCCGACATGAGGGTGCGCGGGTGCGGGTACTGCTGCATCAGCTCCGTGTGGGAGAGCACCTCCGACCGCTTGGCGGTCGACGCGGCATGCATGCACTCCTCGCTCACGAAGACCTCGATGTTGCCCGCCTTCAGGTGCTTCCGCAGGCTTGCGGTGCAGAAGCGCTGCGCGTGGCCCTTCTCATCGAGGACGAAAGCGACCGGGGTGGAGCGGAGCAGGGAGGCGAGAACCTCACAGCCGCCGAGGCACTTCCACCCCTTTTTTTTGGCCTCCTGCAGGTTGGTCACCATGCGGCGGTGGCTGCCGACGGCGACGTAGACGGAGGTGCTCCCGCTGTGATCGAGCGCGGCGATCGCGACGGCGTTGACCTCGCCCGCAACCTGCTGCGCCATGTCCTCTCGCTCCTGCGGCGAGAGGCCGTCCTGCGTCTCGCCGGTGCCTCGCGCGGCGGCCGCCGCCCACGACCTGCGCTGGTTTGCGGGGTTGCACTTGCCCGCCCTCGACGCCACCTCCTTGAGGTCGCCCGCATCGATCGCGGCCGCGTTGAGCGACGTGCGGACGGCCGCCGTGCCCGCGGTCGACGCCCGCTCCTTGAGCTCGCCCGCATCGATCGCGGCCGCGTTGAGCGGCGTGCGGACGGCCCTCAAGCCCGCCTGTGACGGCGCCTCCTTGAGCTCGCCCGCATCGATCGCGGCCGCGTTGAGCGGCGTGCGGACGGCCGCCAAGCCCGCCTGTGACGGCCTCTCCTTGACCCCCTTCTTCTCGAAGAGGTGCCCGTTGAGCTCCGTCCGGACGAGCCTCATGCCCGCCTCCGAAACGTACTCGCGGATCACGCCCTTGTCCGTCTTGCCAGCCTCGTGCGCTGCCCACGCCTTGGAAAGTGAGTCGAAGCCGACACCATTTGGCGCGTAGTAGCCCACGCGGCAGTCGCTCTTGCTGCCACTGTGCAGGATGGTCCAGCCGGCGTCGAGCAGCGCTCGATACTTTTCGCGGTGGTGTGTGCCTTTGCCGATGCTCTTGGGGATCCACTTCTTGTCGTGGGCAGCCTGGAGGTTCCGCGGAATCGGCCTACCCATCGTCGCCCGTACAAGCAGCCGAGCTCGCGAGCAGCACGGGCAAACGCAAACTCGACCGAGCGTGACTCCTTTAGCGTGGCTGAGCCGATCAAGCCGTCTGGTGAAAAGAAAAAGCCAGGCTAATAGAGTTTCGCTCGCGCTAGAACCGTTCCGAGCTCTCCCGCCGCACCCACCACGCTCACCTCGGTTTATTTGGTTTAAAGATGAACACGTCTTTAGCTGCCGGCTGCAGCTGCAACGGACTCTGGCGCGCGGGCGCCACTCTGCACCAAGACTTCAAACACGCGACGCCTCTCCGCCGCGGCGGACGCGTATACGCGCGGTTGCACCCGCCGCATCTGTGCAACGGCCGGCGACTGCGACCGCGCGGCTATCTCGTGGCCGGGAGGCCGCAAAGGGAGAGCGCAGCGCTGCAGCGGCACTGTTACGACATTTCCACTCCCCGGCGACAGTTGTTCCGGCGAGCCTGCCGTCGCGAGAGGAGCAAAATCCGTCTGGGCAGGGGGCCCTCCGGGACTGCGGCTCCCTAAACCTCGATCAGTTGTCGGCCCCTGGCCGTCCGAGTCCTCAGTCTGGGCCGGCGACGGTTGGCGCTGCGCACGCACCGCGTCAGGGTGCCTTGTCCATGCGGGTGAGCGCCACCGCCTGTGACGAGCAGCGAGCCGGCTCAATCAGGCGTGCGGCCGCCGGATGGGGGCCGCGCACGCGCCGCGGGCGCGGGGCGGGCGGGCGTCCTTAGTGCGCAGGAGCAGCGGGCCCGAGCGGTCTGCGCGCGCGCGCATCTTCGCCGAATCATCGCGTGCGAGACTGCGCGTCTGCGGTCAAAGACGGCTACCTGCGCCGGGCAGGAGCCGGATCGCGTGTGGATCACACGAGGCGCGGAGGGCACACGGGCTGGGGAAAGCTCCGTGAGAGCTTGCGGCGCGAGAAGCAACAGCGAGAGGCTAAGACGAGAAGGCACGGCTAGGTCAGGCTTGGCACAGCATGGTGGCGGAGGGTGGAGTGAACCTTCAGTGCCTCTGGCACCGGCGCTGAAAATCACTGAGAAGGCGCCGAACAAGGCTTCACGCCCATCGACATTTCTCGGCCGCCGCCGGCGAGAAAAGAAGGAGGCCGAATTTGTACATCCGTCGGTCCACTGTCTCCCTCGCCCGAGGAGCAGGCCTCTCAGTTCACGGGGTGAACCGTGAACCCGGTCATGAACCAGTTCGCGGTTCACGCTCGTCCGCCAAGCCGCTCGCGCCCTCGTCGATGCTCCTCAACAATGTGGAGCAGCTGGCGCGTCGGGACCTACTCGCTAGGATGACCAAGTTTCAGATTTTACGGAGCACCGAGAGGGGAGCGCGGAGGGCCAGACTAGTCAGACAGAGGGCTCGGACCGTGTCGCCCTGCGATTTTGTGTGTTCCGCCGTGGGCTCTCCCCGCGGGAGGGAGCCCATCGCACCACCAGGTGGAAGAGAAGAAGTGGGCTGAGAAAAAAATCGAAGGTGCGCTCGCCATGGCCGGCCTTAGTGGCATCTCTTCACCTTCTCCGTTCCCGGCGCCATCCCCATCAGGCGCCGCAGCGGGCTCTCACCCGAGCAGACGCATATCGAGCACGTTGTGGCCGGCGGCGAGGGGCTTCCCTGCGTCGTCACGGACGCGACCGTCGGATGGAGGGCACGCGAGCTCTGGTCGTTTGAGTTCTTTTCTCGTGAGTATGGCGATGATCAGCTGATTGCGAACGACAAAGCGCCTCTCCGCAGGGGCGAGAGCACGCCGATGCAGACAGTGCGGCTGCCTCTCCGCGAGTACGTGAAGTACCTCACTGTGCGCGATCACTGGCTGTCGCAGCGCGAGCACGGCACCCCCTTTTACGGCAACAGCTGGACCCCGTTCCTCACGCACGAGGCCATGCGCGACCACGTCGGCAGGATGTCGTTTGTCGAGGACCTCGTCGAGGAGGATGGCCCTCTGGGAGTCCTATCGCGCAAACTGACCAAGGTCTTCTTTGGCCCTCCGGCGACGGTCACGCGGCTCCACCACGACACGTACTCGCTGCACGCGTGGCTGTCGCAGGTGCGGGGCCGGAAGCAGTTTGTCCTCTATCCAAAGTCGCAGGCGCACCTCCTGCATGCGGGCGAGGGCGAGTGCGCAGGCGAGTGCGCGGGCGAAGGCGCGGGCGCGGGCGAGGGAACCTGTTGCGACGCGGCGCAGAGCTGGTTCGACCCGACCGCTCCCGACTACCGCCGCTTCCCGCGCGCGCGGCGGGCCACCCCACACGTCGCCGTCCTCGAGGAGGGCGACACGCTCTTTTGTCCCGCTGGGTGGTTCCACTATGCCATCGCCCTCTCGCCGTCAATCACGCTGATGCGGAACTTTTTCAACTCGGCGAACGCGGACAGGTTCGTCGAGGGGTGGAACGCCGCACACTCACTGCAGACGCAGCCCCAGCCCCAGCCCCAGCCGCGCTCCCAAACAGAGACGCAGTCGGTGCCGACCTATGCAACACCGCCTCGCCCGAGCCCGGCCGCCCTGGAGAAGGGCGGCCACCGGCGGGAGGGCCAGGCCGCGCATCACCAGCGACGAGGCGCCTGCTCGCGCCAGCAGTGGCGGTACGGGAGGTGCCGCGGTGGAGGAACCAGCCACAACCCTTCGTGTGAGTCGTCTCTCGGTCTGTAGTTGCCACCGGCGCTTTTTCGCCGTCGCCGCACCATCTCGTTGAGAACCCTCCTGAGATGACTCGAGTCGACGAATGCGCGGGGAGCGAGAGGAGCACAGCCTACCCTCAGCTCCAGAGAGTCACCCTTTTAGCAATCTCGCCGGAGAGTCTCCATGTCAGAACACACTCCGATCTGCGATGTGCGATCTCCGAGAACTCCGTGTCAAAATTTCTCTCAAATTAAAAACAGCGAGCCCGAGCGCAGAGAAAGAGACTGAAGAGGGAGTGGAGATATCTGGCACCGCTATGCCGTTGAAAGCTCTCACTCACGATCACAAACCCTGATCCCTGTCACTAGAAGCCAGGATGCTAGAAGACTCTCTCCCCGGGGGCGGGTGACGTGTGTCGCGGTGTGCGTGGGGGTATGTGTGGACGCGTGCGGTGTCGGGAGCGTGCACGCCCCGACACGCAAGATGCACATGCACGCGTACATGTCGGTAGATCTACCAGCCGCGGGCGTGAGTTCTGCTGAGATTCCTCACATCTTTGCATTTGAGGGCATCTCGAGTCTATATGAACAAATTGGTCGGACATGCATGCGACGAGGTGACACAGAGGCGCTCAGCGATTGATGCGCAACGGACCTCGGGATAGACGAGAAGAACCGCTCTGTTTGGGTGTGTGAGGAGTTTCCGGCCATGGATCGAGGGGTTCTGACAACATGGCCAGGAGAGTAGCGGCTCGCCCGGCATTCGCTCAACGAGCACCACAGTGCATAACGTGAAGGCACCGACAGGTTAGAGCGACAGCATGCCGATGTTGCTCGCAGCGCGTGCGAGCGAGCAGATGAAGGAAGTGGTGCCACCTGGCGGCTTTCTAACGTCTTTCTAACGAGCGACGGCGATATCGAGGGCCCGCGGGCCTTGCCCGTGGCTCGTCACTCGGGGAAAAGCCATGAATACTCGAGGAAAAAGCGACATAAGAGAATTTTACGGGGGCGAAATCGTGCCGACAATGGCACGGGACTGGCGCGCCATGGCACTAACACAGATACACCTCTTGGCTTGGAGTAATATATACTTTTCCGGCAAACAAAAAGGAAAACAGAGGGTCCCCAGCACTTTGCGTTTCCAGAAATTTCCAGGCACCAGGGAAAACAGAGGGTGTTTGGTGCTATATTCTGGAAACGAGTTTCCCTGAGTCTGTGAGCTGGTCTGGGGGAAAATCTGAGGCGAAACCGAGAAACCCGCCAACATACCGGGTATTTTCCAGGTATAGCCGGGGTTTTCCAGGTACTGCGCAGCAGGGTGTAGTTCGGGCCCACCTCCGCCACGCTGTCCAGCACGTGGACGGCGCTCGCCATCTCGACCGCGTCGTCCTCCGGCGGAAGCTCCGCGTCGCCCGCGGCCGCTTCCCGAGCGCGCTCGCGTCGCGCATCCGCTCGTGGTGGGCCTGCCGACGCGCCACGCCGGCGCCCGTGTGCCTCGCCGCCGCGTCCGGCGACGGCATCGATCGCTGCCACAGGTCGTCCCACGTCGTCCCTCAGAGGACGCATCCAACCCGCCGCATTTCGCCCGCCGAAAAGTCAAGTCCGACTCGCGCCCTCCCCAAACCTAAATCTTTCTACCGAAATCGCGCCTGCCTCTCCCTTTTCTCCCAGTAATCTACAAGTACGTACATACCCGCAAAAATACCTGGGTATTTTGCCGATTTGGCTGAATTTGGGCCCAAACCAGCCTCAGACTCGGCTCAGATATCCCGGAAAGTTTGATGGTTTCCCCGGGAAAATAAAAAAGAGAGGGTTGTAGAGAAAAAAGGGTTTAATATAACAAAATAAAAGTTTTCAAAAGGGGCGCAAGTTACGCGGCGAGGGAAAAGGGAGCAAAGAGGGGCAGCAAAAGGGACAAAAGGGACGCAGTGACGCCAGCGGCTGGCAGCGGTGGTCAGGGCGACCAAGCCGGCGATCGCGCTACACTCAGAGACAGGGTTGGTCGGCGTGCGGGTTCGCTGTCCAGAGTCCACCCAACGCGACTCAGAGGTGCATGGCCGAGGCGTCCGAGGCACCGAAAAAGGGTTTAAAGAAACAAAATAAAAGTTTTCAAAAGGGGCGCAAGTTACGCGGCGAGGGAAAAGGGAGCAAAGAGGGGCAGCAAAAGGGACAAAAGGGACGCAGTGACGCCAGCGGCTGGCAGCGGTGGTCAGGGCGACCAAGCCGGCGATCGCGCTACACTCAGAGACAGGGTTGGTCGGCGTGCGGGTTCGCTGTCCAGAGTCCACCCAACGCGACTCAGAGGTGCATGGCCGAGGCGTCCGAGGCACCAAAGGCAGAAGCCTGGGACGTAAGCACAGGAGAAAGGTCACTGCCGCTGGCCATCCCGGAACCGGCACTCGTCGTAGACGGGAAAGGAAAGGAAAAGAGACGGGGTGCGAGAGGAAAACTATACCTCCTCCCGGAAAAGTTATTTAGCCCCACCCCCCACCGCCGCCCAGTACGTGCTCCGCAGCTGAGCCCACGCACCCCACAGCAGCTCAGGGACACAATTAGCTCGCATACGAGTGCTGGTACGCACAGCTCCACGTGTACTCGAATGCTGCCACTGTCATTCTAGCCGGCGAGCGGCGGCGTCACAGCGTCGACTCTCGCATCGCGATGAGACGCACTGCTTGCCCAGACGCGCGCCTTGGCGCGCTCCTGTGGTGCAGGAGGAAGGCCAGCGGTCGTGCTGCGCAGGCCCGGCCGTCTGGCTGAAGGGAGCAGCAGCTGGCGCTCAACAGCAGCGCTGTCGAGCAGCGCAGCCCACCACACTCCCGCCAAGCCACGTGTCATTTCCCGCCAAGATTTGGCGCCAAAATGGCACTTTAGTGTCCACCTAGCCACGTGGTCGCGGCCTGAAGCTCCAAGCTTCTGGGAGTGAGGTCCCACATCACAGGGCTCCATTTGGCTCAGTTGGAGGCACCGTCCAATCGTTCGCCGATATCCGAAACCGGGGTGGGGCTAAATAACTTTTCCAGGAGGAGGTATACAGCCAACTCTTGGCACGACTGCGGACTGACTGGCACGGACCCACCCACGCACACCACGGAGCCAAGCGTGACTACTTCGATATCGTCTTTCTTTCCTTCCACTCTCTTCTGTGGTGTGAGCTCTGTCTCTGCGTTGCCAACAACATACCCACGACGAGAAAAAGCCCTCGTCGGCGTCCTTGATCACGTCGAAAGTCGCAGTCGAACTAAAAGGCCCGAAAGCGTCGCCCACAGCCATGTCAGCCTACCTCGTCCACGTCAAGTCGGCTGAGAAGCTCCGCAATGCCGATGGTTTCTTTGGGAAGTCGGACCCCTACGTCCGCCTCCACCTCAACGGCACGTCTGACAAGTTCACAACCAAGATCATCGCGAATGATTTGAATCCGAAATGGGACGAGTGCTTCCTGATCGTGCCGGGGAACACAGGAGCTGTGCCTAGCCTTGCCTGCACCGTGTGGGACTCAGACAAGGGCATTGTCGTCGATGGCTCGGACGACTTTTTGGGTGGCCACGAGTTCAACCTCGCCGAACAGGTCGGGGAGACGAATGGCTGGCGCGAAATGCGGGCCGTTCTGAACGGCCATAAGGCAAAGGGATTTTTGAACCTCGCAGTGAAGCGATACTGCGCGCTCTCCATCACCCTGGACTCAGCCCGCAAGCTTCGAAACGCCGACGGCATGTTTGGCAAGTCCGACCCCTTCGCCAGGCTCGTCGGTCTGGTGGAGGAGGCGGGCGGCAGCAAGGCGCAGTGGGGCACAACCAAGGTGGTAAAAAATCAACTCAACCCTGTGTGGGGCGAGTCCTTCACCATAGATGTGCTGCACCGCATGTCGCGCGGTGGTCGGCTCCGCCGCCTGCAGATCGCTGTCAAGGACTATGACGGGCCCGGCACCTTCTCCTCGGCCAAGGAGGACGACCTGGGTACTGCAAACGTGCCTTGGCGCGAGCTCTTCAGCGCCGAGCCCAGGCGCACGACCCTCGGCCTCAAGTTCAAGGGCAGCGAGAAGGGGAGCGTCAATGTCGCCATTACGCCCGCCGCGCCGCCCGGCGCCGCGTCGACGAAGCCGCAAGCAGCGGGCGAGCGGCTGTCAGCGGCAGAGGAGCGGGTGCGCGAGCTCGAGGCGGCCGTGCGGATCAAGGAACTGGAGGAGCGCCTCTCGCGATCTGTCAGCCCGGTCAGTCAGCGCCAGTCCGCCGAGGACCTGCAGCAGGACCCGCAGCAGGCGCGCATCCGAGCCCTCGAGGAGCAGCTCGCGGCGGCGTCGATGGGCTCCAGCCCGCCACAGCAGCTCTACCCGGCAGTCGCGCCGCAGCCGACCTACGCGCCGGCGCCGATGCCGCAGCCGACCTACGCACCGGCGCCGGTGCCGCAGCCGTACTACCCGCCGGCTCCACCGGCGCCGGCGCTGCTTTCTGTGCGCGTGCCGGCCGGCTACGGGCCCGGGATGCAAATCATAGTCAGGACGCCCGCGGGCCAGCAGGTTCCGGTCCAGATTCCTCAGGGCGTGTTCCAGGGGATGGAGTTTCGCGTACAGGTGAGCTAGTGGGGTAAGAAGTACGCAAGGGTGTTTGTTTGATTATCAGTGTTTTAGACAATTTAGGCAGCGCATTCGTTCGCGGCACAGATGACTACGTCAGTAGGTCCAGCCCTGGGTGGCGCAAGATCTGACGTTCCGTGACAATCGTCAGATCCGTGTTTTTCTCGTCTTGCGGTACATCTCTCCGCTCGCTACCTCACGCTCCGCCGTCCGGCCATGGATGATTCGATGGAGCTCGGCGAGCTCCATCGAACCATCCAACTCCGGTCACCGGGTCTGAACGCGCTCAGCCTCAGGAGGTACCAAACCACGCAAATTCTGCACGCCTCGCTGCGCCGCTGGCTTGACTGAATCAGGCAGCAGCAGGCTGCTGCTGCTGCTGCCACAGCAGCAGTCTGCTGCGGCCCTAATACACAAGTTAATGACTAGCAGCACTGCCGGGGGCATACGAGCCGCCACAGCCGGTGTGCGGCCGTGCACTGCCACCTGCCCGCGGCTACGCACAATGTGCGCTCGCATTGGACGAGCCCTGCTGATGGACCTGCGTCGCCTAGCTGCACGAGAGCAATGCCGCAGTCGGTGGCCGTGGCATACACTGCGAGCACACTCGGTGCAGCTGCGAGGTGCAAGAGCACGTCGTTCCTGCCTCTGATGCCACTCTCGCGGCTTGCAGCACGTCACTCACGCATGCTCTCCAGTAGGGGGTAGACAGCGCCCCAAAATCCATCGGTGTGGGATTTCGCGCAGTCGCTTGACTCTGAAAAGCTCGCTATGTACCTTTCTGAGCGCTGTGGTCGCCGCAGACTGGCTCCTACTTGACGGCGGCATGGAGGCATGCATCCATGCCGCCGTCAAGTCCGAAATAATCGACATACAGCTCGATGGTTTGCCCGAAAAGGTACATAGCGGCGTTTCTGGCAACAACAGCGCTGCGACCGCGAAGTGGCGGTGGACATGCTCCCACGTTGCCGACGCGGCGCCGGAGTGGCCGGCGCTGCTCGCCGCGACCACGACGGCTACTCTGATACTCCGGGCCGACCCGTCCTACCCGACGGTGGCACTCTTCCACGCTTTTTCTCACGCTGAGAAAATTTCTGAAACGGCGTGCAGCAGAGTCACCAACGAGTCGGTCCGCGTGACTCCTCGTGTCCCGCACCGTTCTCACACATCCATAAACTCACTTTGGCCTCACTGAAGCAAGCCCTCAATCCTGAACTCCTCAGATTTTAGATTAGGACGCTGTCTACCCCCCCCCTCGTATAGTACCAGGAGAGGCTGTGGCGGGCGCGTGTGTGGGGCTGTAGCCTGTGTTTGGCCGGTTCTGACCCGTTTACTATCAGTATCATGCCCGGGCCACAAAAAATCGCACACAGGTAGCGGCTCAGGGGCCCAGTAAGTCGCGGAATCGCCAAATGTCACAACCTGCGCCACCCAGGGCTGGACCTAGTCCCAGATCACTACATAGGCGGCGCGTGCGGCTCCTCTCTGCAACCGGCTGCACCGCCATTCTCTCCACCACACACCACTGTCATTCCCTCGGCGGCAGCTCGGCGGCGAGCAGCCTCCGCCCTGTGGCGGTGAGCCCGAATCGCGAGGGCTCGCCCGCGGCGCCGCGGCGGCGGCAAAAGACGGGCGCACCGGCGTGCACCACGCGCAGCCGGTTGGCGGGCGCCTCGCCTGGAGTATGGAGAGCCCAGGGGGGGGAGTGAGTACGATGGCGGGCGGTGCACTCGGCGCATCGCGTGTCTGTGTCTCGAGCTGTACTCATCCTCTAGGGAACCTCGCCCGTTGCGCAGCGCTCGCAGCCCGGAGTCATGTAGACGACCTGGGCCGCCTGCGCCGTCCGTGCAAATAGGCGGCCTGCGCACAACTAAGGGCTGTGAAGAGACGCTGCCCACAGTCACAGCGGGCGGCGTCCGCGCGAAGAGAGGCCTGAGAGGCGGCCGCGCGTAGCCTGGTTGGGGCGGGGCGGGAGGGGGAGAGCGCGGCTCAGCCTGGAGGGGCGGGGCGCCGCGGGCTGCGGCGAGTGGCACCGCTGCAGACTGCGCACCTTGCCGGCCCGCTTGCGGATGGTCTTGGCGAGGCGCGCCGAGACGGCGGGCGGGACGGGCGCGTAGAGAGTGCTGCTGCGACCGCCGCTTGCGCCGCCACCGCCGCCGCTTCCGGCGTCTTCGCCCCGCGGACCCGCATCGCCTGCGTCGGCAGTGGCCGCCGGCGAGGAGCGAGGCGGCGCGCGCGGCGGCGGCGCCGGTAGCTCGCGCACCTTGCGGAGGCGGAGGCGAGAGGGAAGGCCTCGAACGAACATACCCGAGGCGACCCGAGGTTGCAGGCGACCCGAGGTTGCCCGAGATCGGGCGCGCCTTTCGGAGGAGGGCGACGAAGAAGCCGCCGCTGTCCGAACGGTGCGGCAGCAGCCGGACACAGCGCCGGAGCTGCGCCGCGAGGGAGGGGGCGGTGGGCGGCCACATCGACGCGCGGTAGAGCCGCTTCTCTCTGACGGGCACGTCCGCCTGCAAGACATGTCCCGGACATGTCTTGGACACGTGTCGCCGGGCGGCGGCGGCGACGAGGTGGTCGGCCTGGGGGGCATGCCGTGGACGAGTCATGGACGCATGCGGCGAGCGCAGCGAAGGGTGCGAGGACAGGGCGCGGCCTACCGAGGGGCCGTGAACGCGTCATGGACCCGCGCCGCGGACCGAGCCGCCGCTCGGCGAGGCGAATCGTGCCGAGGCGCGCAGCGAGGCGAGGTCGCGGTGGCGCGCCAGCCGAAAGTCGAGCAGCGGCCACGTGCTCATCCCCGGCGCGCAGCCGCCCGCAAGCTCCGCGGCGACGGCGTCGGCGCCGGACTCCACCTCGACGGCGCCTAAGCTCGGCTCATCTCGGCTCATCTCGGCTGATCTCGTGTCGGCGCGCCCAGCCCAACCTCGGCGGCCGCCTCCGCACTTGTGCAGCAGCGCGGCGACGACCGCCTCGTTCTCGATCGGGTTGAGGGAGCAGGTCGAGTAGCAGAGCAGGCCGCCCACCTGCTCGGTGGCGGGTGTGCACGGCTCTCTCTCTCTCACTCTCTCTCTCCCTCCCTCTCTCTCTCCCTCCCTCCCTCTCCCTCTCTCTCTCTCTCTCTCTCTCTCTCTCTCTCTCTCTCTCCTCTCTCCCTCTCTCTCTCTCTCTCTCTCTCTCTCGCTCTTCAAGACAGAGCAAGCCACCTCGAGCAGCGCGCAACCTCTCATCGCGATCTGCAGCTGCAGCGGGTGCTGCCGCAGCGCCAGCGCGACCTCCCACCTGTGGAAGACCTCGGGGTGCTTGCGCGTGGTGCCGTCGCCGGTGCAGGGCACCTATCGGAAGGCGCCGAGAAAGCTCAGGGAAGGCGCAGGGAAGAGGAGTGGGGCCGTCGTCAGCGCAAGGCACGTCGCACACGATGCGGTCAAACCCGGAGGCGCCGCCGCCGCCTCCGCCTCCGCCGCGGGCTGCGGGCGGGCGCGGCATCTTTTGAGCCGCGTGGTTGGTGACGACAAGAGAGGCCGCGCGCGGGCCTGTGGGGAGGTCCTGAAAGTTCTAGTGGGGAGGTCCTAGAAAGTTCGGCGGCGGTGGCGACGGCTGGGCGATGGTAGCTGCAGACGAGTGCGCGTCTTCTCCAGCTGGACCTCGAGTCAGCTGGACCTCGAGTCAGACTACGCATCTATGGTTGGAGGGCCGAGCGAGGCGGTGCGCTTGACGAGCGTGAAGCAGCGCAGCGCCGAAAAGTCGTTGGCGACGACGACGCCGCCGCCGCCGTCGAGCCGCTCGACGAGCTGGGTGGTCTTGCTGCCGGGCGCGGCGCACATGTCGAGCACGCGGTGGTGCGGCAGCACGCCGAGCGTCGCGGCGGGCAGCATGCTGGCCACCTCCTGCCGCACCAGCAGGCCCGACTCGGTGCCTCGGATGAGCCACTCGCGCACGGAGGCGGCGTCCGATCCGGGGACCGCCTCGCGCAGCTGGTGCTTGTCCATGTGCAGCTGCCAGCCCTCGACCAGTCCGAGCCGGCGGGTGCCCAGCCCCTCTGCCGCCCACCGGCTCAGCACGCGCTCGCCCTCGGCGCGGAAGTCGTCCGCGGCGTCACGCGTGAAGCGGAAGGTTATTGGGAGCGGCCGGCGCAAGCTGTCGGAGAAGGCTGGCCACTCCTCGCGCGGCACGACTGCGGTTAGCCTGTAGTAGACGTCGAACATGCTCTTTGGCCGCCACGCATCGCAGTCGGGCCAGAGCGCGTTGGGGTTGCTGCTGCTGGCCCGGCCGAGCCTTGTTTTGTCAGCGCCGGACGTCTCGGAAGCGAGCGGCTCCTCGTCGCCGTCGTCTAGCCGCTGCGAGGCCAGGTCGCCCGCCTTGCGCTTGCGGGAGCGGACGAGCGACTTGGACCGCGAGCGGCGTGGCATGTTGTGTGGTGGTGCCGGACCTTGCCCTGCCAGTGGCACGGGGGTTCGGGGTGCAAGGGGGAGTGTAGCCGGCGTTTGAGAGATTTTACTTTTTAAACAACTCGAAGACTCGCACGTCATTTGGGGCCAGAGTTTGTGTATGGCGTTTACAGATGTTTTTCTCCGGACCAGCAGGGTAAGGGGGGGGCTTTACGCCACTTGGCGCCCAGGAGGGGCTCGACTGGCATGCCGCCTCCGCCGCCGCCGGTGCCGACAAACAAAGAACTTGTTTGTGAGAGTTGTTTGGTATTGGTATTGCTAAATATCATCCGGTGCCGACGAGCGTCAGGCTCCGGGCTCGCATCAGCTTGGACAAACACATCATCTCTCTCTCAGCTTGGGGAGGGTCGGGCATGGCGCGGAAAAGAGCGAGTAGCGCGCGGGAGAGGCGCGGCTAAACAATGGCCGTGACGGGCCGGGCCAGACCCGGCGGGCCAATTGAGAAGAGAAAAGGGAAACGAACAAAATAGGTAGCGGAATGTGGGAACGACAAAATAGCGGGCCAATTGAGAAGAGAAAAGGGAAACGAACAAAATAGGTAGCGGAATGTGGGAACGACAAAATAGCGGCGGCTGGTCTCGATCCAGCGACCTTTGGGTTATGGGCCCAACACGCTGTCCACTGCGCCACGCCGCTTCGAACTGGCAGCCAGTCGCCGCTCTCGGAGGCGGCCGACTACCAGAGCCATGCTCGAACTGGCAGCCAGTCGCCGCTCGGAGTCGAGCTGCGGCCGGCGTGCCAGGGCTGCGCATGGGATGATAGCGGCCCGCCGAGCATCGCCTCATATTATTTGGAAAAAAATTTTGCCTCGCGGCTAGAGGCGTGCGAGGCTGACGTATTTTGGACAATCCACCTACCAAAATTAAAACCCGAAGTCACGCCGAGCCACTCCGCCAAAAGTGATGTGTGGCAAAACATCTCGAAGCCTGCGCGTCCTGGCGACCTATATAGTTAAAATGTGAAATTTTCGCGGGGTACTACAAGCGAAATTCTATCGCCACCGCCAAGCCCACCACCGCCATCGCCACCCCCGCCCTCCCCACCTCCTCCGTCTCCTCCTCCACCATCACCGCCCCCGCGCCGTCACCACCACCTCTCGCCCTCCGCCTCGCCACCACCGCCCTCCCCACCACCTCCGGCACCGCTGCCTCCCTCCCCTCCACGACCACCGTCGCCGCCGCCTCCGTCGCCACCGCCGCCAAGCCCGCCGCCCCCTTCACCGCCTCCTCCATCGGCATCGCCGCCGCCGCCCTCACCTCCGCTGCCCTCTCCACCTCCGCCCTCCCCACCTCCTCCGTCTCCTCCTCCACCATCACCGCCCCCGCGCCGTCACCACCACCTCTCGCCCTCCGCCTCGCCACCACCGCCCTCCCCACCACCTCCGGCACCGCTGCCTCCCTCCCCTCCACGACCACCGTCGCCGCCGCCTCCGTCGCCACCGCCGGCCAAGCCCGCCGCCTCCTTCACCGCCTCCTCCATCGGCATCGCCGCCGCCGCCCTCACCTCCGCCGCCCTCTCCGCCTCCGCCCTCGCCACCGCATCTAGTCGCTCCGCCACCCTCATCACCTTTCCCT